TATGCAGATGATTAAGAAGGAAGACATTTTTCTGAAAAGGGCCAGACAGTAAATATTTTTAGCTCTGGGACAGACAGTCTCTGTTGTGACTCCCCAACTTTGCTGTTGTAACTCGAAAGCAGCCACAGACAATACATGATGAATGGTGTGGCTGTGTTCCAATAAAACTTTACTTGAAACAAATGGAAGGCTGGTTGTCCCATAGGCTTATAGCTTGCTGGTTCCTGACGTAGAGAATCACTATTTATAACTTTTTATCATTCACATTTGTGACTAAGTTATGTGTTAAATAGTGATTTACCATATTAAATGCTTGCATGGATGCTTTGAGCAAACATTTTGTGTATCAATATTTAAAGCTTTAAATTTGACAAGTGAGCTTGCTTCTTGCTTAGATAATGTACATCTAAACTTTGTTTTAATAACACTCATAAAAGAAAAAACAGTCTTACAGAGATATATTGATAAACATAGAGCTTTTAAGGCAATATCAGCAAACTTAGATATTCATTTTTAACTCTAATTCAGAATGATACAAAGATAGATTCTCAAAATTCATCTTTAATCCTTCAAAAGCCAGTTCTAACACTATATCCTATAAAGTTATAGTTAAATTATAATTGTCTTTTGGTGAACAAATGGATTTGAGGTTTTATACACTTTTGGATTGAGTTTGACAAATTAACCTTGAAATATCCTGTGTTGTAATGTGTCCCATTGTGCATAACTAATATAGTGCTCAAGCCAGTGTGACTCCACATGAAGTTTAACAACACTTGAACTGGTTCCTTGTTCAGTGAGATATGTTCATGAATTTGGGTATTGTGCAGTATCAAATAACTGTAAAAGTTTCTAAACATTCTGGTTTTTTTAGACAGAGTCTTCCTCTGTTGCCCAGGCTAGAGTGCCGTGGCGTCAGCCTAGCTCACAGCAACCTCAAACTCCTGGGCTCAATCAATCCTCCTGCCTCAGCCTCCCGGGTAGCTGGGACTACAGGCACGTGCACGCCATGATGCCCAGCTAATTTTTCTACTTTTGGTAGAGATAGGGTCTTGCTCTTGCTCAGGCTGATCTCGAACTCCTGAGCTTAAGTGATCCTCCCACCTCAGCCTCCCAGAGTACTAGGATTACAGGCACGAGCCACCACACCCAGCCTTAACCATTCTTAATTTCTGTATTTATCATGAACCAGTAACAATTTATGGACTGACACTAGCTTATGGCTCATATACTTTGAGTAGTACTGAAATATAGGATGGCTTGGAATAAGGAAATTAGGAAAATGTTACATCATAGCATTATTTTATTTTGCCCCTAGACCAGAGGTTTAAAAATGGAATGAGGAGTATTCATTTTAATTATGAAAAACACGGTGGAAGAAATAACAGCACAAGGGAGCACATTAGAGACAAACTGAAAATAACTTCCATGTATCAGCAGGTGTGGAGAAACTGAGAACAAAGCTTACCTAAAAGAGAACCTGATGAATGTAATTTTGGAGAAATCAAAGTAATGTGATACATCTGGGTAGAGTAGGGCTTCACCTATTGCTTTCATCTGGAATGAATTCATTGGTTAGAGGTGGCTGCCTGAAGCATCATATTGAGAAGGATTCTCAGGAGCCAGGCTTAGTAGGAAACAATGTAGTGATGAGTTGGTCATAGCTGTTGGTGGGTTAAGATGTATTAAAGAGAGACAGTGAAACTAGTTGAGAAGGTAAGCAGGCTGGACAGGAGGTATAGAAGGTAAAAGGTAAACAGTTAGGGGATGAATTCACAGAGGAGAGGTTTGATGGGACCAACCAGTGATATAAGTCCATGTTTCTGCTAATACTTATAAAAAGTAATTCTATTTTAAATCATTTAAGAGCTGTATTTCAAAGTGTATATGATGGACCTCTTTGACAGTGTTTCATTCAGCAATCATTTATTGACCTCTCAAAATGGAGGAGTAAGGATACCAAAATGATTAAGACAGTTTTTCACAGATTGGTGAAGATTATACCTACTGATAAAAATAAAAACAGAAGTAAAACAATAGTTCTTAAGTTTGAGTGCTGTAATAATGATAGCAGTTACTACTGAGCAATAACTGTATGCTAGGATCTGTGCTCAGTGATTTATCTATCTATCCATCTATTTAGATGAGCCTGTGGAGACTGAAACTAGAGAGGTTAAGTACCATGTCCAAAATCACAGAGAGGTGGTAAAGCCAGGTTTAGATCCCAGGCTTGTTTAATTCAAAGTCTGCACCCTTACCTGCTATTGCACAGCTTCCATAGAGTTATATACAAGCTACAGTGTTTGCCCAAAGTAGAAAGGGATCCTTCTGAGGTAAATTGAGGAATGCTTTAGAGGTGGTGATGCCAATTCTTGAGGGATGAATAAGAATGTGTCAGGAGGACAGGGAGATGAGGATATTCAAGAGGAAAAGGCATGATCCATTCAGGCAACTGCAAGTGCTGAAGTACGGTTGGAGCACAAACTGCAAAATGGAGTTAAGTAAAGATGAGACTTGATAAGTTGTAGGGGCTGGATGATGAAGGGCCTGTATGTCAAGCAAAGGAGTGTATATTCCATATATGGATAAGGTGAGGAGAAGTTATTGGTGGTTTTAAGTAGAAGTGTTAACTTAATTAGATTTGTGTCTTAGAAGGCTCATGCTGGCAATGTGAACTGGCCACTCTTGGAGTCCAGACAGATGTGGTGAGAGCCAGAGTGAAGGTAGGAACTGTGGGAATAGAGTGGGGTGATGAATTAGAGATGCGGTCAAGAATGGGATAAGGGTGAGGAAGCTGGATTCTAGGATGATCTTGGGATTTCTGCACTTACATCTTTTAGACAGATACTATGAAATAGGAGAGAAAATACAGTAGGAAAAGGCATTTTCAGGCAAAAATAATTGTACTAGGCGTTGTTCCTGGGGCTTATTAGACATGTTGAGTTTGATTCATCAGAAAGATATTCGAATATCTGCCCATTTGTTTGCTCACATGAATGACTTGTTCTTTTTCCTTTTCAATTCTTTTTCTTTCTTTTTCCCTGTCCCTTTGTAGTTTTAATAGTTATTTAAAATCAGGTAGAGAATTTTTATATTTCAATATAAAACCGAAATGATCTCGGCTAAGTTGCTTTGTACTTTTGTGGCTTTTGTCGACGTGAATTTTTTCCCCTATCCTGTGGATCAGCAGCCTTTAGTCCAAAAATGGTGTAAAGAGAGGACCAAGGACTGTGCTGTAGGCATGCCTAGAATGTTTGGAAGGATGAGGATGGTGAAGAAGAGATGGAATAACTACCAAAAGTAGCCACATGACCAGGATAATGTCATAAGAGCCAAAAGGAGGAATAATATCGAAGAAAGATTTAACAACAACAAAAAAAACCCCTAGTAATTATATAGACGACCAAGGAGATTTAAGAAAAAACAAGAAGGGCTGGGCACGGTGGCTCACGCCTGTAATCCTAGCACTCTGGGAGGCTGAGACGGGAGGATTGTTTGAGCTCAGGAGTTCCAAACCAGCCCAAGCAAGAGCGAGACCCCGTCTCTACTAAAATTAGAAAGAAATTAATTGGACAACTAAAAATATATAGAAAAAATTAGCTGAGCAT